CGCAAAACCCTAAACCCTAACAAAAGGAAACCCTAGACGGGAATATATATATATATATATTATACTCTATTAGGGTTTGATTTAATTTTAACAGTTGAACCGTGCAGCTTTGACGGAGAGACACCGAGACCAAAGTCGGGCGGTAAATCTTTAGAAAATTTTGGAATCTTCCGTCGGTAAAATCGATGGTGTATTTTTGCATACATAATTAAGTAAATGTTAACCAATAAAAGGAGAATAAATAAGAAAAAATATAAAAATTCAAAACTAGAGCGTCTACCGAGTTTTGCGAGGGTACAAGGGCCGCAAAAATCTGGGACGAGGTCCCAAGGAAACTCGGGGCTTATTTCACGAGATATACACGCAAAGAGGGGAGAATTATTTTGAATTTTACTATTAAAATCTGGTAAAATTTTAAATAAATATCTAAGAACCTAGGCTACCAGCCGGGCTGCCCGGGTCCCGGGTGGCCAGCCCGTGCAAGGACCAAGGCCGGTCCCAGCAAAAAAAAAAAAAAAAAAGAACAATCCAAAAAATCCGAAAAAAATCGATGTTATGCAAAAAAATAAACTGAACAACTTTTGCCCGAGGGTCACATCGAGATTCTTTACCAAATTTAAAAAAAAAAAAAAAATCAAAAATATTTTTATTACTTTTTTTTTTTTTTTTTTTTTGGCCCGGTCGGGCAAGTGAACCCGGACCACTCTGGTAGCCTAGCTAAGAACCCAATAAAAATTAATTTGATAATTGCCCTCTGACTTAATTCTTATTTTCCTCCGTCGGCCTCATTTTAAGGATTCGTCCCGAACCCCATCCCAACGGGGGATGGGAAACGCTGCCGAAATTTTCATAATTTCCTAAAAATCATTTCCACCACCTTTAAACCCTACAAATTTGGTAAACCTCGACATATACTAACCTTTAGAAGATATAAATTAAGAAAGGAAATTTTTTTCGACCAAATCTATTTTTATTTAATCTACATTGCCTAGAGTACACGTATGGGCCCTTTCCGTACGAAACATACAGGTAATATCTGTACGGGAAATGTACGGGAACCTGTACGTCTTGTACGCCCCAGTACGAAAAAAGAAAAAAAAAAAAAAAATCATCAAAAGAATCCAAAAGAAACTATGCGATGCAACAACCCAAGACAAGCAACATTTGGATGAGTATTATCTCCAGATTCTTAGTACAATTTGAGAAAAAAAATAAAAACAATATCGAAATTAAAAAAGAAGAAAAAAAAAAAAAAACTTCGTACGGGGCCCTTAGCGTAGGAGAAAGAAAAAAAAAACTCGTACAGGGCCCTTAGCGTACGAGTACAAGAATACGAACCCGTACTCGTACGAGGGTGCGTACAAGTCGTATTTAAAAATTATAAGAAAAATCACAATAAGAGGTAAAAAAGATTGACAGAATATATCGGCCTTACGGTAAGATTTGTTTTGTCGAATTAAAGGATTCAAAATAAAAAAGAAGAATTTACCCTAATTAAATCTAATTTTAATGAATTAATTACTAAAAATATTTTAAAAAATCGAAACAAAAGGTAAAAAAGAGTTTTACGTTTACTTTGAGCTTCTTTTACTTTTTTTTTTTTTTTTTTTTTGGTTAGTCTTTTTTCTTTCTTATAAAAGTTCGGAACCAGGCCAAGCGTCCCTCACAAAATTAGGTGGGGCCCTCGGCGGGCAAGGCATCATTGGCCAAGCACATTGAGGGTGAGCTTCTTTTACATTTGAACTTATTTCCCCTGGGTACTGGGGACATAAAAGCTGACTATTTTGCCTCTATTCTGATTTTAATCAATTAAATCTCTAAAAATTCCTCAAAAATCAATTTGTGTCCTTAAACCACCAGTACCTTGCCCAACCAAACTTTTGACACCTCCTGAATTCATGGAAGCCGTAGGCAGGCCTAGTAGAGGCTCAGTACAGCCTCAACACATGCGTGGTGGTCGCTCGTTTTGAAAATGGAAACGGGCGACCAAAGAAACCCGAAAAATAAAGAAGAGAAAAAAAAGAACCCCCCAAAAAAAGAAAAAAAAAAAGAAGAGAGAGAACAAACAAAAATTGTCGCCTCTCAAAACGGTGCGAGTGGGGGGCTATTCCTCTCAGACCGGCGTGAGTTCTGGCACGTGCCAGACTCAATTCTCAGGGTCTCGCTCCGCTACTCACCACATGCACAAAGAGAAACAATATGTGCATCTTTCTAGGTCTTAGGGGAAGATTCATTCTCATTTGTACATTTGGTGAGTAGTGGAGCTAACCCCTCATCCTCGCTGCACTACTTCCTGAACTGCAGAATGAGAATGAATCTTCCGCTACAACGTGGAAACAAAAACCATCTTTAAAAAAAAATGAAAAATTGTCCCAAAAAAAAAAGAAAAAGAAAGAAAAGAAACATCCACTGCCATATTTTTTTGTCTTTTCCGTTTGCTGGTGAGTGTTGGAGCGATGCCCTTCGTCCTACAAGATTTGCAGGGGCCATGCTGCACTAGTTTCGGAATTACCAAAATGGGAGCGCATTTTACACTGGAACACGGAAGGATACACAGAAGATCAACATGGTCCTGCTCAGGAATGGTGATTTCTGGCAATAGTGCCGTTCACGGCTCTCTGACGATGAGCCCGCCATTCGTGCCTTCGCCTGCTCCTCTGTTAGTAGCAGCCGCCCTATGGGGGGGGGGGGAATGTTGGACATAAAAAGGAAGAACAAAAAAAAAAAAAAAAAAAAAAAAAAAAACAAGGGAGGAGAGAAAAATCAAAATAACCAGCACAAAAGTACCGGTCGCCAGCATTGGAGGACCGGTTGCCCCCATATCACGACCGCTCACCAGTTGCATTCCCATATGACAAAGAGGCTCGGTAGCTTGCCAAAAACAAGGTTCGGGAGGGCTGCTTCGGGGGTACTGGTGGTTTAAAAATTAAAGAACGGGCAGAACCAGGTCGTATACTAAGTTTCTGACTAAGGGATAGACTCTACTGGTCACAGGAGCGCGTGTGGGAGGGAGAGATCGAATTCCCTCAAATAGAGCCCGTGCCTTATATTCGAGGGAATCCGAAGAAAGGCATATAGGCTCCGTTTGGGCCCGGAATTCGATGCCTCCCACGTTTAGGGTAGCTTTAGGCTCTATTCTGGTACTTCTGTAGGCAGTTATCTTCTAGGGACTTGTCCCGAACCCGATCCCAACGGGGGGAGGGTAGACGTTGCCGAATTTTTTCTAGGTTTTGGAGCTTCATTATCTTACAGACCTAAGAGGAGCTTAGATGGATGTGGCTGCCCTCGACCGTCGAGGAATATGCGGTGGAGAGGTACCGGGTCAATGAGCCCCCATAACTTGTAGAGGGCGATCTAGTCGAGTTTACCCTGTCGTCACGACCCATGGATTGGCACGACGGGCAATACAGGTGGAGGTCAATACTCCTGTGGCCTCGCGCTTGGCTCTGGATGTTCCGGGGGCTAAAGACCAACCATAACCCTCGAGGCCAGCACTTGGGGGAAACCGCATACGGGGAGGTGAAGGCCTACCTGTATCTGAGTCCCGAGGTGGCTAAGAAGGCCGCTCTGACTCTCGTGACCTGGGGGGCCTGTGGGATCATTGGTTGGGTGGAGCGGTATCTCCAGGAGGAGATAGCAGCCTTTAGGCTCAAGGAGGAGTAGAACACAGAGATTTCCCAACATGCCCCCCCCCCCATAGTTATCATAGCGGAGCTCCAGACCGTCCGAGACGGTTTTTTTCCATACTAGCGCTGCAGATGAGGGCGGTAGTCCCTTCATTTGTGGTATACGCCTTGTTTGGAAGGATGGGGCATTTGGTCGAGACCTACCTCACCGCGGAGGAGCTCGAGCATTTCTCGAGAGAGGACCTCGACACGCATTACATTTATTATTCGCTCGTGACGGCGGGACTGCGTTTGGGAGACGAGAGGGTACAACTCATAGAGTTGATTCGGTCAATAGCCCCTAACTCGTGTGGAGGTTGGAGAGAGAAGTCGTATGAGTGGAGACATCCCCCGCCGTCCTATGTGTGGGACTAACTGGACCGCGAGCTCCGGGCCGAGCCAGACTACATTACGTCGATAGGCCAACTCTTCATGGATGACTGAGATTCGTGGTGGGGCGGCGATGCTCTCATAGCCCCCTACTAGCTGGCCCAGTACTACGAGAGCATAGGAGCACAGGGGTATGCCCTAGAGATAGAGGCCCACGACGATGAGGATGCTTGGGAGCCTGACTGGGTAGCTACCGATGAGGAGGATTCCGATTCGGAGATCGACGAGGTAGAGGAGGTGGATGACGCAAACGATGTTGAGGCCGGGTCGATCCAATTCCCGAGGCTAGTGGTCGGATTCAGGGCCTAGGGGCTTGGACGCGACAGGGCAGCTGGAGATTGGCCGGATGGAGAGATGAGTGACTCGAGCGTGTGGTGGGCATAACTGTTACAACGTGACTCTGATTCCTACAGGGCGAAGAGATTGATAAAGCCTAGGGAGACTGCCCTAGGATTTGATATCCCTCTCCCTGTGCGCTTAGACAAGGGCGAGAGGATGCCGATTAGGTACGAGGGAACGTGGCTAGCTGACGGTGTATTTTTGTGGACAGTGATCTTAGAGAATAGGGGAACGAGCAGTGGCCAACAGGTGGTGGCAATAGGACATCTTGTGTTTGGTAGATCTCAAGACCTCGAGATAGGGCTAACGCTTGTTGGCGTTAGTAGAACTTGGCAGAAGTATGAAGCTTTAGCGAGGTCTATTGTGAGTCAGAGATTGGGTAGTTCGGTGGGAGGTAGTCAACCTCTAGTGCGCATAATATTTGGGCCCCCTAAACCGGATCTCTACCCTATAGAAGGTTGGAGGTGGACCTTGCCTACATTCGTGATAGAGCAGGTGTATGGAGGCGTCGACAATCTAAGCAAAGTTGTTGACGACACACTATATGCCCTCGGATTGGGATTAGCGTCTCGGTTTAAGGAGGCCTACTTCGCCGTCTGTGCGAGGTGGGGACGCTTTGATTACGAGACAGTAAGAGAACTAATCGACACGACCTGCTGGGTGGATTGTCTGACGCCAATCGATCTGATTGCGTACTATCGAAGGCATGTAGAAGACAAGTACGTAGGGCTAGAGAAGTTGAGATATTTATACGAGAGCAATCAGTAGAAGCATGCCGGGTCGAACGTCTACAGGGGCCAACGTGAGTAGACAGTTAGTAAACGAGGGATTTACTGCGACGGTTCTACTCAAAGCATACCTAGAGGAGAATCTAACAAAGCAAGAATGCTTGCGGCGAGCTAGGGAGTTCACCCACGAGCACAAAGCAGAAGTCCTTACGTGCTTAACCTTTCAAACGAAGGTAACGTACGAAGTCATGGTATGGTCGGCAGGGTATTTGCAGGCGGAGTTATTTTTTGATGAGACGGTACCGGAAGCAAGGAGTAGAGTACGAGTTGGTACTCTTGGCATGACGCAACGCGAGCCTGTACTGTACAGACATAGACGACGAACGTCGTACTCTCTGCGATGGGATCAACGAGGTTCCGATGATAGAAATCCTCGTGTGATCATGCAAAAAGTAGTGCCAAGGCGCCGACTTCCTACTAACGGGCGACACCGACTTTCCTCGCAGCTATTGTCGTACTCGTGTACGGTCTCGAGACACTTAGCACGCGATGAGGTGATGCTACAGGTCCGTTTGAGGGTGAGCCTAGAGAGGACTTGACAAACAGTGAGTGTGGGAAGCTCGCTAAGGACGTCGTACGAGAGCAAAGGTTAGGAACACTGAGAAAAGTCACGACGCAGAAATGGATGATCTATGAGGTGACCGTATGCGTGAAAGGAGATATACGAGTCGAGATCGTTCAAGACGAAACGCCAGTTGAAGCGCGAGCTAGGATGTGAGGAGACCTGCGGAGTCACCAAAAGATGAGCCGAGTATGGAAGACGAGCGGGAGAAGAGAGTGAAGGAGCAGATTATAGAGCCGGTGTTAAAGTGAGTTAAGGAATTGGGCAAGAATATACGAGAGTACGGGATCTGCGAAAGCAAGAAAAAACTATTCAGAATAGAAGCAGCAACGAAAGGACTGGAGAGTGTCTTTAGAGAAGATAGAGAATTTATCACAAGATGGAGGCTTAAGTTTCTTGAGAACGTAAAAGTCGGAGAACATCGACAAACGGAGTTAGGACAATCGTTGGAAGCCACAGAGCGATCGAAAGAATCGTCTGGAACCATAGAGCAAGAGGAAGGGAAAAACACAGAGGAGACGGCAAAACGATGATAGAAGACGATCAGTACGTGTCAGTATAGTGACGACAAGTACTCCGTACACGTGGTAGATAAGATAGAAGGACCGGTGGTCTACGTGGTGATACAAGTGGATCACCTAGCAAGACTGAGAGTGATTGAGGAGGCAATGTATGTGGAAAGCGTTGAGAGACGCACGAGGGATTGCACTCTGGGTAGTCGAAGACGGCCAGCTAATTAGGTACGTACTATGCACATCATTGTTCGACGGAGGGTCCTCGGTTCGATTATGGCATGGAACTCTGAGCAAGACGGAGAGGCTCTTAAAGAAGCAAGCTAGGGATGCAGGAGAGTTAGCAACAGTTATTGTCGACGGGCCGGTCCTCAGGACATTTGAGGCGCACACTCGGAACCGGGGAGGGATCACAAAGACGAAGGAAGACATAGACGAGTTTGGCGATGACGACGACTTCCAGGCATTTTTCCTCATTTTGAAGGCGACGACCGTAAGGATGCTAGTTGCCCTTGAGTTGACGGCGGAAGAATGTTAGGTGAGATTAAAAGAGTAGGATCGACAATGGGAAGCGATGAGTAGGAAGATATCGGAGGAGGAATTAGCGCGAAGGAGATGGAAGTTTGGGAGATGGAGCGGACCGCGTGAACACGAGAGCCAGAAAGTTATGCAAGGACTAAGTGAAATTGGCAGGAGAGAGACCTTCCCATACAAAGTGGTCAGGTATCAGGTAGCGAACAGCAGCTGGGAGAGAAATCAATTTTATGTTATGACTGTGTACTTTCTTGACCTAGGCATACACCACGTCGGGATATACCTGCCAAGAGAGAGAGAGGCGTACTCGAGATGTTGGAGGATAGCAACTTGGAAGCTTAGGGAAGAAAGGGAGAGATTAGAGAGGTTGGGTGAGTGTGTAGAGGCAAGCGATGACATCTCGGTCTTTGATGTCCTGCCTAGACCGCCGGTCCCAGGTAGATCAAACGAAATAGATGGGAGGCGGTCGTAGACTTTGCCAGGATGGTCAGAGCAGGAGATCGTTGTAAAAGACCGTCAGCAAAACTGATAGGATGCAGGTGACAGTAGAGGATGAGCGGAGAGAGAGCGATCTCTGACGAGGAGTGTCGAAGAGAGAAAGGTTCCTCGTTGGGAACAGACCGTCGGAAGAACAGTTAAAGGCTATCCGCGGCTCACTGAGTTCTTTAGGGGGAAGAGAGAGAATTCCTTACGAGGTAGAGACGTACGAATTGGTGGACAGCGGATGGGAGGAAATCCATCTTTATGTGATGACCGTCAGGTTCATCGATATCTTTTTTTTTTTTTTTTTTTGCAAGAGCCCTTTTGTAAGGCCACTATCCCGGCAGTGGTAAGAGAACCACCGGAATTGAGGCCTTGGCTGTTGGGCTGCTCCGTCTATTGGTGGGGAGTGACACCTGCTGGAAACCGGGTCCTGCGTCCCTTTAGTACAACAATACAGGTCAATGTTGAGGCTATAGTCATTATTCTCTTCTACTTTGGAGCACCCATTATCCCTTCTAGCTGCGAATTGACCCGATCCCATTGCGGGACTCCTACTTAACAACTGACCCAGCCTCCACCTAGAAGTTGCCAATCGATCTTCTTGAGACTACTCCCAGGTGTCCGCAGCCCCCCAAAGGATCCTGCCTCGATCATCGCAAGGAAAAAACTTAAGTTGTTCCAGGTGGAGTTAGTAGCAACTGGCCGGTACCCGCCAAGATACTTGGCGCCAATCGCATCCACCCCAACTCCCTCCATCCCAGTCTCACCCGTCCTTCCTAACTCCGTCATCGTAACGAATTTCAGAGGACCGCTTCTCAGCAGGGGGTGAGCACCATCATCACCCCGAAGTTCCTTGCCCCCACAAGAACTCCAGTCTCCGTTCTCAAAGGGGTGAAATAGCACCACCCAACACCAATCGCGCCAGAGCTCGCCCTCATCAGCCGATATCCATCGGACAGCCTAAACTACCCAACGCCAATCACATCTGATAAGAGTTCCCCCTAGCTGGTACCCGTCAAGCAAACCTATTCCATCCCCCTCTCCGTCCTTGCAAAGAATCATTTTGTGCCCCTTCCCGCTACTTCAAAACAGATCCCCTAAAACCCTACAAGATACTTTAGTTGACAATCCCATGTTAAGACCCTGACGAAACTCTGACGCGAATAGGACAAATTCAGGAAAACAAGCAACCCCAGAAACAGACAACTCGAACAATCTTGCCTCCATCATCGAAAGGAAGAACCTCATTCGTCCTCCCAAAATTCATCCTCGTAACGAGTCCAGAGAACCTCATCTCAGCAGGGAGCAGGGCACCATCATCACTCTGAAATTCCTTGCCCCCACAAGAATTTCAGTCTCCGTCCTTAAAGAGATGAAATAACACTACCCAACGCCAATTGCGCCAAGGCTCACCCTCATCAACCGGTACCCATTGGACAGCCTAAGCTACCCAACGCCAATCACATCTGATAAGAGCTCCCCCTAGCCGGTACCCGTTAGAAAGCCCTATTCCATCCCCTTTCCGTCCTTGCGAAGAATCATTTGATGCCTTTTGCCCCCTACTTCAACACAAATCCCCCAAGACCCTACAAGATGCTCCACTTGACCATCCCATGCGGCCCCTGTTCACAATTCTGACGAAACTCTGACGAAAAGACATAGGTCAAATTTTGGATACAACTTACTGTAGTAAAAAGAATTTAGATTATGGAAGAAACAATCATTAGAAAAAACCATTGGAATCCCGACGAATTTCGTATTGGAATTGCAGGACTTATGTTTGGTAAAAAACATTAAGAATTGTGAATCTATCAGAATCGCTGTCTGATTCACGGCTTTCAAATTGGCAAATACATTAGACACTTAGGAGGAGGAATATTGCAAAACAATTATTTCAGAATTTTTTCAGATATAGATAGAAAAAAAAAAACTATGTATGAGGAATTACAAATTGAAATCTCCATCAGAACCTTCACAATTGACAGTAAGATGTGAGAAAGCACTCAAGAACAATCAGGAATCCTGAATCGAGATCATCAACGAGAAACCAAATTAGGAGATCAAGGGATTTTGGACAGTTATTAACAATCATTAGAGCATGGGCTAACCACTGCTACCTAAGCAGATCAACGAGTAACCTCCATCTCCCCTTCCTCGACAGCACCTACTTTACTTCCTTCCCCTCAAACCCCACCCTAGCGTCTTCGGGGAAGGAAGAACCCTTCCTCCCACTGCTAGCTACTAAGGCTCTGGGCACTGCTAACACCAAAAACATTGACGGTCGTCTTCGATCCCTAAAAATAATAAAAAACAGTGTGGCACCTCCTCACCAAACCTGTTGGCGAGTCACCACAGGGGGTTTGAAACCTCCAAAAAATCCGTACTAATTCGTACTTACCCTGTTGTCGAAGAAGGGGGGAGACTCTTCCTACCGCCGTAGATCGTTTCTCGTTTCAATGATCGTCACTGCTGCCGGATTGTTCATACCCTGCTGACGAAAGTACACGTAGCCCCACAAAAGTCAAAACCTTCGTGAAATACATCCGATCCAACGATAGTACGGTCCGCTGTCCATTCACCACGCTTCTCCCCGCTGCACAACTCGAAATATCCTGCATCCCGACCCCGATCACAAGATAGAAGCCCCATCAAACCAAGGTTTACTCCACGCGCAGTCCGCATCATCCGCTCCCGCCTTGCACCGCGGCGTTCGCCGCTCCCGCAGGCCAAAATCCGAGTACGGGCGGCGCAGCGGTCGCGCTGCACCACCGTCTGCCATTGTCTCATCTTGGTTATTCGTGACGTGTATGACGTACGAATTTATCTGCCAATAGAGAGGAAGATCGATCTTGTTTACAGCCGATGCAGGGAAAAAGCGAAGGAAGTAGTAGAAAAAGAGAAAGATAGACTGCTATCGCTAGGGAAGAGCGTTGTCTGGGACACCCGGATAACGATCTTCGAGGGACTTCCTAAGCCCCCGACGCCTTCTCAGGTGATGGGAAAGGAGAACTGGAGGAGCGTAATCGAACTTGTTCTGCGACATAGAAATTCTAATGGCAAGAGGAGGTGAGTAAGTATGGAGATAGAAAACCGAGATCTAAAGTTGGTCCGGCTGCCGGTTCTGTCATTAGGTCCGGGCTGCCAGTTCTGACATTAGGTTTGGGCTGCCAGTTCTGACATTAGGTTCGGGCTGCCAGTTCTGACACTAGGTCCGGGCTGCCAGTTCTGACATTAGGTCCGGGCTGCCAGTTAGAGTGCATGGAGTCCGACACGATGGGTCCACATCCGAGTATGGACCATCAGACTAGCGGTACGAATGGAGAATAGGACAGAGCCTCCTAGTCTCCGACGAGAGGCGATCACTCGACGCTCGCCTACATACGAGCGGAGAGACGCCAGAGGAGACAGACGCAGAGACGACTAGAGGGACCAGTACGTCCGGGAGCAGGCTTGGAGAGACAGAGATAGGCCTCTGGAAAGGAGCACAGCACCCCGACGGATCTACGATCCGCAGATGGGCGAGTCGTATACCCTCCCTTACGAGAGGAGAGAACGACACGATACATCATCTCGCACCAACCTACGGTGTTGGATACCAGGCCTCCCATTTTTTAAAGGTTACGGTATCACCGAGTACCTCGAGAAGTGGGAGTTGCACACCTACCGCAGCCAGTGGTCGGAGGACGAGATTATAGATAACTTCTTGTGCAACTCGGACCCGAGTCTGAGCCAGGTAATCAAAGAAGCACGACTAAAGGACATGAAGTGGACTACTTACAAAGCTAGTCTGTACAAACTCTTCAAGCTGGAAGAGATCAGGTATTCGATCCGAGATCTGGAGTTGATGACCCAGGTTGAGGACGAGAGTGTGCAAGCATTTGGGAAACGATTCCAGAAGATATCGGATGCCTTGATTGCGAAAGGGAAGCTGTCAAAAGTCGAGCGATGCACGGTCTTCATCGGTTGACTGCCAAGGGGGAAGCAGAAGGGGTTAGTGAGAGATTTGCCTCACGACAAGTTAGATTTCGCGGCGGTTCTTAAGTTAGCTATGAAGGCAGAACCAGATGATTATAAGGACCTAGTCTGGAGAGGGATGAGACGCCGGGACTTTCTCTCTATCGTGAGCATGACACACAAAGGTGTCCTGATTTCAACGAACAACCTTGGGCGGATCGACGATATTTGTTGGACGAAGTTTGACCGCAGCGAACTAGGGATAGAGGGACGGTGATAGATACGATGAGAGAGATGAGGGAAATGATGAAGGGGCTAGCCGCACAAATGACTAATATCGAGACGAAGACGGGAGCGACGACCTACAAAGACAAGCCAGGATCCCCCTATTCATTGCGATGGGACCGCAGGAACACCAACCCTTGGAGAAGCGTGAAGGACAGAAACCCCAGTACACTCGCAGATTATCATGCGAGAGAGAGAGACGACGACCCCTAGCGTCGTAGGGATGATGAGATTGATAAGGACCGTCGCGATGATCGATTTCGTGATGCCGACGCCTTTGGCAGAGGGGGACGGCTAGAGCCGTATCCGTGTAGTCCTCGATATGACCGCAACACGGATGGATACAGGAGTCCTCGCAA